AGCTTTTCAAAGATGACATGAATTCCCAAGTCTGAGGCATCACCTTCTATAGCAAAGATTGCATCAGTTTTGTCTGAGCATAGGCAGTGACTCCAAAAATGTTTTATATATGTCTGCACAGTGGGACACTATTGCTGATTTATCAGGTGGAAGAGCTTAGGAGGAGAGAGAGAGAGAGAAGCAGCAGATTGTCTGAAGGCAAGCAGCTTTACAGAAAACCTGATCTAACCCTATTGCTGTTTGGAGGCTAAGAAACAGATACTAAATCACTGCTGCTCCTTTATTTCTATTTTATTTTTTTGGAAGATGTACAAGCAACACATCACCAGAGGGAACATCCCTATCACTCTAGATAACGCACCAGTGATCAAATGACTGATTGCATGTCGGCCACATCATATTGGCTAGGGGGAAATTCAATTTTAGTAGCTCTCCCCAGCTCATGAAACCCTAATAGCCTTTAAAAACTCTTATAAAAACCACCCAAATGAAAGCTGTGATATGGCTGACTAGCACACAAGTCAGCCCACTGAATTATGACTTGGAGCCACTGATTTCAAGGGATTAAGGAAGAAGCTGATCAACACGGTTGTCATGATTCTCCTAGTATGTTTGGAGTTATTTTTCTCAGCAGTGACTGACACCACATGGAAGTAAGCAATTGGACAATCCCAACTCTACAATTCTGTGATTTTATGATTCTATGAATCATAGGATCATAGAATTGTAGAGTTGGAAGGGACCTCGGCCATCATCTAGTTCCCTGCAATGCAGGAATCTCAACTAAAGTATCCCTGACAGATGGCCATCCAACCTCTTCTTAAAAGCCTCCAATGATGGAGAGCCCACCACCTTCTGGGGGAGTCCATTCCACTGTCTGAAGCAGGTATAGGGGAACTTCCAGCTGTTGCTGGATTCTAGCAGTACCCATGGTCAGGGATGATGATTGGTGCTGGAGTCCAGCAACATCTGGAGGGACACAGGCTCCCCATCCCTGGCCAAGAGATGCTAGGCAAACAACCCAGCACTCTCTTCTCCCATAGTCTGGAAGTTCACTGCGTAGACTTGAGCCTTCAGAATAAGCTACCCAACAGATGCCACAGAGACAGGTGTGGATATGGAATGTAAGTGGGACCTGCATAAAAGGTTGTAGCTCGAAGTGCTCCTGTTCACTGTTCCAGTAAGTCAGCCATGCCTTCTTCTGTGAGACTCCATCCCTCAACAGCAGAGGCGGTTTTGGGGTAGCACGACTGGTGTGGTCGCCCTGGAAGCCATGCTACAGGGTGCACCACAACAATGCTGCAGAACGGAGTGAGAGAGGCAGGGGGTGCCCAATTTTAGCATTGTACTGGGTGGTAATGAAATTCGAGAGCCCAAATTCGTCACTGTCAACAGATAGCTTCATGACCTATGAGTATGCTCAGTCTTCATGGGGGCATTTTGAGGGTTTCTTCCCCACTAAACATTCCGCCCCTAGTGTTTTGGGTTTGTTTGTTTGTTTGTTTGTTTGTTGGTTTGTTGTACTACTGGAGACACTGAGATTCCCTCCCGCCCCAGCCTCCTGATATCTCCCTGTTGCATTGTTGTTTTGGCTTCCTAAGCATTGGCACTCAGATCTGAACATCGAAAGTGGTGAGAATAAAGGGGCAAGCAGAAAGTGGAGCAAGTGGAGCCCGAAAAAAAAGTGTACAAATCTTTTCAACATAGTCTACCTATAGGTAGCCAGGAAGGTAATACCCAGGAGCCCTAATATCACAAATAGCTATCATGAAATTTCAACATGCAAGAATTTTAGAAGCACACGTGTAACATATACATTTGAAATAAAATTTTTAAAAAACCACCCTCTGAAGGCATTGGTAAAATTCCAGTTGGTGTTAATAGCTGTGAGTTGAGCCCTTTGTCATCGCCAGTGTTAACGGATTCTTACTACAGTCAAAGCCAAGCTGTTCCTGAGTGGTAGAAGAGAGACCTCTTGTGGCTTTTAAAAAAATAGCACAGTCTAATATATACCAGTGCATTTAAAGCACCCCAATTTTATTTAAGCAGAAAGAGGCTTAAATAGATTTCACCGAGTAAAAAATTGTGATCTTTTTAAAAAAGTAAAAAAAATAAAAATAATAATTGCAGGGGGAAAGAAATAAAGAGGAAGATAGTGATAGCTATGTTTAAGCAGGCCCTAAATTTATAAAAGAAGAGCATGGCATAACATTTGATGCAGTGTGGAAGGAAACATTATAACTCATCCCCTGAAGACTGGCATGGGACAGTCAGCTGAGATGTTCCCTCTGGCAAAACCCTTAAAGCAGGGGTCAGCAAACTTTTCCAGCAGGGGGCCAATCCACTGTCCCTCAGACCTTGTGAGGGGCCAGACTAGATTGGGGGCGGGGCGGGGCGGGGCGGGGAACGAACAAATTCCTATGCCCCACAAATAACCCAGAGATTCTACTCATGTAAAAACACCAGGCAGGCCCCACAAATAACCCAAAGATGCATTTAAAATCAAAGGACACGTTCTATTCATGTAAAAACACGCTGATTCCTGGACCATCCACGGGCCGGATCTAGAAGGCGATTGGGCCGGATCTGGCCCCTGGGCCTTAGTTTGCCTACCCATGCCTTAAACTGCACCAGCTAAATGACCTGTTCCTTTCTATTTGAAGTAAACTGTAAACTATTGGTTAGCTCATCCTTTCAGCACCATAGACAGCAGTCCCACTTGAAAGCCACTCTAGCCTTGCAAGTATCCTGCCATGCTCATCTCTGCTGGGATCCACCTTCCAGGCCGTTTCCCAAACACTCCCTACGACTTCTGCTCCACATCTATCTATCTATCAAGGTAGACTTATCTAGGGGTCAACTTATCTAGGCTCCCTTCCTTTTCCCCAACTTCAATACATGCACAGCCACGATGACTTCCTGCTCCTTCCTATGGGCCATAGTTTGGTGGTGGATTATCTGCTTTGCATGCAGAAGGGTCCCAGGTTCAATCCCTGGCATCTCTAGGTAGGGTTGAGAGAGAACCTTGCTGGGAACCCTGTAGAAGTTGCTGCCAGTCAGTGTACACAATACTGAGGTATATGGGCCAGTATAAGGCAGACCCCTGTGTTCCCTATGGTGTAAGGAACTCTGAAAGTCAGAGGATTCCCAGTGGAAACTGCCAAAAATGCAAGACGGTCCCTCCAAACATTACACTCCATAGTTCAATGAATCTAAGGCAAGAGATGCATTTTTATCTTGGTGTGAGAGATGTTATGATCTGAAACTGGGATAGGGTATCACATTGCCACCCAGCTGCAACAGAGGGACAAGTGAAACATCTGACTTGCCCTACAGTACCTTTATGAAACAATTGGTCCCCAAATGTACTGATTTCCCTCTTCCTTTTCGGATTGTATCTTTCAACCTTGGAACCAAGGGAAGTCAACCTGTGGCCTTCCATATATTTGTATTATGATATTAATACCCCACTTTGCCTCCAAGTAGCTCAAGGTGGTGTACTTCTCCTCCCCATTTTATCCTTGCAGTAACCCTGTGGCATAGCCTAGGCTGAGAGACTGTGACTGGCCTAACATCACCAGGGAACTTTATGGCTGAGTAGGGATTTGAGTCCTGGTCTCCCAGGTCCTAGTCCGACACTCTAAATCACTGCACCAAGCTAGCTCTTGTCGTTGCACTCAAATTCCCACCATCCATGAGGAATAGCCATACTGGCTGGGGATGGTGGGAGTTGGAGTCTAAAAGCATTTGGAGGGTCCCTGGCTGGCTTACTAGCCATTATTTTAAATGGAGAAAACCCCTGAAAGCTTTGATAGAAAGGTAGTATAAAATGCAGGAAATGAAAAGCGTACATAAATAAAACTGCTATCTTTTCAGCTATACCTCGAATATCTTAGCTGTAAGTAAAACATTCACCTCTACATAGAGACACAGAAGAGTCACAGAAACATAGAGTTGAAGGGGACCACAAGGGTCAACTAGTACAATCCCCTGCAATGCAGGAATCTTTTGCCCAATGTGAGGCTCGAACCCTCGACCCTGAGATTAAGAGTTTCATACTCTACCAACTCAGCTAAGTGTGAGGACGTGCAGTAAAACAAGCCCGCGAACTGTAATCACATAACCTTCCCAGATTCAGGGGACTGAGATGTCATTATCAGGATCACCGTGGGCAAGTAAGGTTCATGCCTTCGCTTTTAAGCCTCACCCTCCTAAAGATTGGTCCATTTACATGGCTATGAGGCTTAGTTTTGAAAAGTTCCCGGGGATGTTGGTGCAGCTGAGGAGTGCAGACGCATACATTACTTGTAGTTTTACCCTTAGATATTTTAAGTGACAGAATAGTCTAGGTAACATAAACATTTGTTTAAAGCTGGTTCCCACATTACCATCTCGGCATATGGTTTCCAAATAATATAGTACAGTTAGTATTGGCACTATGGTCCCATGTTCACAAGCAGCTGCTTCCAACAGAGGTTTCGCATTTGACCTTCAATTCATTCCCCAGAAATATCCCTCCATTCTTTTGTAAATAGTGGAAGGGTTTTTTCCCTCCCAGATAATTTGATCACAGCAGAAAGTCACTGAGGAGAAACAAAGATGCCTTTGCATGCGCTGCAACGGGAACCCAAAGCTTAAAGAGGTCTATCTCACCAGAGTCTGGATAGTCATGGCATAAATAAATGCAAATCTAACAGTTACTCTTCCAGATTGAAACAGAGGTAAGCACAATAAACAAACAACAGGAACACACCGAGCATATCCACATTCCCTGTTCTCATGCTTCTGCAACTAGTTCAAAGCTCAAACATGATGCTAGACTTTGCAAAATCCTCAGGCAGAGCAAAAAGCTACCAGAGTCATCTGAGAGCTAACATACAATGAGAAGTGGCCTGGAAACACAAAGGGATTCTTTACAGTATTTCTGAGCAGTGATATTAGCAAAAAAAAAATTAACTTTTTTTAGCAAAACAACCTTTGAAGGGGGAAACTTTACTTACAGGGGTGCTGCCATCTGAAAAGGTGTTCATACTGATTGAGCTGCTCATCTTGTCAGATGACAAGGAAGGAGGTGATGGACTGCGCTTCTCCAGATGCTCCTGGCTCTGTAAATCTTGACGCTGTAGATATTCACGCCATGCTCTCTGAATGCTGTATGTAATTTGAAACATGGGTGAATAGAGAAACCTCTTATATATGCGCGCACTACTGAAATATTTCCCTCCAATGGGGGCCTGATAGAAGGTAATCTTGCAGAGCCAGAGTGAAATTTTGCAGTGTTGGAATTTAAATGAAAATCTTTTCAAATCTCTCTTTTGAAATTGGACTTTCAAATATATGCTTTCCCAAAAACACAGGGTACAAACCCAGCCCCAACCGCAGCCTGCTTGTTTCTTTTCAAGGGAAGAGCTAAGTGCATGCTTCAGGCTGCAGACCTCTGCGCACTTAACCTGCAGTAAGTCTCACTGAACTCAATGGGGCTTCCTTAAAAAAAGACTTCTATAGGATTGTGTTGCTTGTCTAGTTTATGAAGTTTTAAAACAATAATGTAAAGTATCAACTTCAGTGGCGTGTGGGGGAATTCTTCATAGGGGAGCAGTTAGGGCCAGAGGCACCAACTTTCAAGGGTGATTTGAGGGGGGGCACCAATGTTATGTGCATGAGCATCGCACCTCCCTCCCTAAGCCAGGCAGAAGCTTCCCAGGCTTTGGGAAGGAGGCACTAGGCTTTAATACTTTAATACTCTAATTTGCCAGGAACATTTAGGGAACTAGCCTTGATCCCTTAGTCCACTGACCATGCACCACTGATCAACTTGTCAATTTCTGTAATTCTAACAGACAGAATTTGGCACGTTGAAGGGTGGGGGAAAGCAAATTAGGAAGAGCAGGAACTTGAATTTAGACACATCTGACTTATTCGCTTCTCTCCACCAACCAACCCCACCCCCCATTCTTCTTACATTTAGCCAGTAGTGGTTGGTGGTAGGGAGTGGAATGGCTCACCTGGCTTCCCAACATGAGGTCAGAGGGTCAAGAGGGTTAGCGTGGTGCAGCCACAGTAGCAGAACCAAATCAGCACTTCTGATGCTGCACCCGCACCAACCTCCCCTCCCTCTCATCTCAGTTACCAGCAGCAACCATCGCACTGGGAAGCCAGGTAAGCAATGCTGCTCCACTCCAGCCCCACTTGTGCCCACACAAGGGTAGCCAGGCAGAAATGAGGACAGGGTTTCCACCCCTTTCAAAGCTGCGCAGAAAAGGAAATATCAGCAACTGTAGCTTTTGCAATAAGTTACGCCTGCCAATATTTCCTCTTCTGCACAGCTATTAGAGGTGCACAATGTCAGGAGTGCATGCAGGAGCCGGGCCCTGTGACTGGTAGGGCCTCGCAGGACTGGGGCCTTCCTGAGTGTGGCCTGGAAGGGCAAGGCGTGGTCGCACAGGTGAGGCTTGACAGAAGACTCGTAGCACCCTGGTGGCAAGGGCCGGGAGGGGTATATAAGACCAGCATTTCCGTCTGGCTCTTTGCCACAGCAACTTGCTACCCACCTAGCTGTCCTTTGGCTTCCTGACTCCTGGTTTCCTGACTCTTGGACCCTTGGCTTCCTGACTCCTGGTTTCCTGACTCTTGGACCCTTGGCTTCCTGACTCCTGGTTTCCTGACTCTTGGATTCTTGGCTTCCTGACCCCTGGACTGCTGACCCTGGATTGCTGCTTCCTGACCTTTACCCTGGTCTCGACGTACCAAGCTGGGACTCCGACTGCCTGTAACCTGGAACGTGACACACAAGTCCATCCCATCTTTTGCTATCTGGTTACCCAATCCTACCCATTTACCTACACACACACACACACACACACACACACACTGCTTTTCTAAAAAGAGTACAAAGCAACTTGATTTGTTTTAGATCAAGGGGGGGGGAACCCCCAATACAATCTTATTTAATACATAGACATAAGCACAGATGTATTAATGTGTTAATTAGCTCACCAATGCCAAGGTGTCTGTTATCAGCAACAATGATTTTGTGAATGGCCCCTGTTAATAATGCAATTATCGCCATCTAGGCGTTATATATTTTATTTCCCTCTGACCTCAGTGCTCACAGTCCCCCGCAACATGTGAATACACAACCATAACTTGGGATAACACTTCAGACATCTGATGAATAGAATGTAGTCAATGAAAGTGTATCCCATAATTATTATAATAAATGTGTTAGTCTTTACAGAACCACAAGACTCTTTGTTGTTTTTGCTGCAATAAACTGGCAACACAGCTACTCTGGAACCAGAGGCATATGCCACACAGACCATGGAAAATATATGCATTTGCTACATTTTGATATGCACAATCTTAAAACAGGTTTCCAATACAGTCTTTAAAATAAATAAAAAATTGGGATTATTGAGAAGGTGCTCGGTTACAACTATATGTTTGACACCAGGTGGCAGTGTAATATCAAATAAATTAGCTTTCAAATTAGAATAGTTAACAGATAAAATTTGCTCATTAGAATAATGTCTGTATAAATCCCATTTGATTTGGCACCTGTATTGGGTTTAAAATTGTTTCTATGCATGTTTATATTGTTGATGCTTATATTGTTAAATCGCTTTGGGTTGTTTTGAGGGAAGTGATTCATACACAAACAAAATCCCAGACAACTCCTTGAGATTCTGGTCAAATCTACAAATTCTTGTGTCAATTCTTTATTTTATTTTCTATATACTTCGGAACTCTTTTTAATCATCATCATCCTCTTTGGCATATACAGGCTAAGTACCTAAGCTCTTTACTCCACAAAGGCCAATATATTTTGCATCATCCCGAGTTCTTAGTAAAAACACAACACAAAACCAAACACTATTTTTTGTTGGGAGCCACCCAGAGTGACTGGGGCAACCCAGTCAGATCGGCAGCGTATAAATAAATTATTAGTTTTAGTATTATAGGAAGGAAGGAATCTAATGTTTTCTGCCTTTAGAGAATAAACCATGTGTTACTTCCATTCAGTGATGGGCGAGCTCCATCCATTTAAACTGGAAATTTAAACTCCCATCATCCCAAACTTAGCAGGACCAGTGGGCAGGGATGATGGGAACTGTAATCCAAAAACAGCTGTAGATCCAAGTTTGGGAAAGCCAGGTCTACTTGCAGGCTTCCCACAGGCATCTGGTGGACCACAGTGAGGACTAGATGCTGGACCAGATGGGTTTTTGGTCTGATCTTTTGGGGGTTCTTATGAGTAAGCATGCAAAGTATTGCAGTGCACAACTAAATATGCATCAACGATAAAGTGATTTTTTCAGTATGAAGAAGGCACTCAGTTAAAGAGAAGAAAAGTAAAGGCAGTTACATTTCTAAAATGGGATCTAGAATTTTCACACCGCACCACTAGCTTCTATCCAAACCCTACTTAAACTCTTCGTATTCTTTCATCTACCTACAATCTGCTCCACTAAAAGGCATACACTTGGTTTTAATTTGAAATCTTCATGTCCCATAAATATTCTAGTAGTATTTTAGCGTTCGCTAAATTGCTTGAGCTTGAGCTTTTTGATCTGAAAGCTGGATTCAGTTTAGTAATGGAAAAGGTTACCTAGGAAAAGTAATCTTTGGCAAGTCTTGCAGAGTCAAATTGAGGCTCAGACTACAGGCCAGAGGCTGGTTAAGCCAGAGTGGGGAAACTCACACCCACAACACAAACACACTTATATTGCTGAACTCCAGCTCCCATCATCCCTCACCATTGGCCCTGCTGGTCAGGGCTGATGGGATTTGGAGTCCAGTAACTTCTGGAGTGTCACATGTTTCCCACTCCTGGGTTAAGCACACATCTGTTCTCTCCCTTCCAGCTGGGAAGATGAAGACCTATTTTTTAGAACAGAAGTTCATGAGCGGGGTAGGTGCTAAATGCTCTCCAAAGGAACAAAGGAAACTGCCTCGCACCAAATCAAGCCATTGGCCCATCAAGCAGCATTGTCTACTCTGACTAGCAGAAGCTTTCCAGGGTTTTTGAGAAGAGTCTTTCATAGCTCTACCTGAAGACGCTGAGGATTGAACCTTGAATCTGCACATGTAAAGCCTATGCTCTGTCCCTGAGTTATGGCTCAACTTGTGGCTTATCTGCTTCTGATTTAGCAGCTTTTTTGATAGTTGCATCCCCAGATACAATCAATTCTGCCACCCTGAACTTTGCTAATCAGTGTGCTGGAGAATCTGAGAAGGGAGGGGATGAAAACATTTTCACCTTCCCGGTGGCGCTGTGGGTTAAACCACAGAGCCTAGGACTTGCCGATCAGAAGGTTGGCAGTTCAAATCCCCACGACGGGGTGAGCTCCCAATGCTCGGTCCCTGCCCCTGCCAACCTAGCAGTTCAAAAGCACGTCAAAGTGCAAGTAGATAAATAGGTACCGCTCTGGCGGGAAGGTAAACGGAGTTTCCATGCGCTGCTCTGGTTCGCCAGAAGTGGCTTAGTCATGCTGGCCACATGACCCAGAAGCTGTATGCCAGCTCCCTCAGCCAATAAAACAAGATGAGCACTGCAAGCCCGGAGTCGTCTGCGACTGGACCTAACGGTCAGGGGTCCCCCCCCTTTACCTTACCACTGCTAAAATGAAAGGGAGGCAGTGTATTCTGGGGACTGGGAGAAAAGGCTTCTGGGGGCAGATGAGAGTGTACTCAGCCAGTAACTTATAAAACACCCAAAAAGAGGTCAAAGGAGGACACAGATTTGCATCAAAATTGCATATGCTAATTTATATGTACAGCTGCAGTTAGAAATGTAGATCTGTGTGCCTGTTCATTTTGCTATTCAGGTGATAACTGTCTTCTTGAAAAGCTGGTTATAAATACACATCATCACAGAAGTGCCTTGCCAGGTGGGGTGGAGTTTCTATGCTAGCTTCCTAATAGATGGGTCACTGCTGCTTACCAGGAAGAGGAGAAGAAAGGGTGGCGTGGCAGGGAGGTCAACTTGCTGGAAACACATTGGCAAGAGTGCCAGATTGGCTCCACTGGTGTGTTTGCACCACACTGATCTCCCTGATGCCTCACCTCAATTGCTTGCGGCAACTGATGAGAAATTTGCATAGTGCCTCCACCCCACCTGGGGCGCTGCTTCTGTATCCCAGTTCACAGTGCTGGTGTTGACCTATAAAGCCTTAAACAGCTCAGGACCTACCCAGACCCTGAAATCATTCTCTGAGGCCCTTCTTCATGAGGTCTGGAGAGTGGCAACACAAGAACGGATGTTTTCTGCAGTGGCTCCCCATTTGTGGCGCCTTCATTATACACATTTAGGCATGAGATGAAAGCATTCTTCTTTGGGTGTTTGACATCTGATGTTAAATGTGTTGTGGGAGGGGGTGGTTGCTGGGGTTCACCCCTTATTTTCCTTATGTATTTTGTGTAATTTTATGTTGTGAACCACCCTGAGATCTACGGATGAAGGGCGGTATACAAATTTAATAAATAAAAATAAAATAAAATGACTTCAGGGCCCCTGCTCTACATTCTTATGCAACTTTTTATTTACACTGGCCTCTTTTGCATCTGACCACCATAGAGAAGCTTTCAGATAATGTAACATCAGACTCTCAGCAGCCATAAAACATCTGGGATCCACCATCAATACCTATCTTCTTTTTCGCCTCACATTGACTCTCTTCCATCTTCCCTCGGAATTCATAACCAGCAAACAAAATGTACCGTGCAAAACTTCCTCTGTGGCTTTTGTTCTGCATTTGCACTCCTCAGTAATTTTTAGTTTATATGATTTAAAGGGATCAAATATGCTCTTGTTACCTTTTCCTGTTAGATTAATCCTCACCTTACATGTAAGGAAGAAGAATGAAGACACTTAAAAATCAAAGGCAATCAGCCAAATAAAGCATCTCCCTAGAGCTCCGGCAATGTTGCTGCATTTCTAAAGCAAACATAAAAGCGTAGACTTTATATCACTTACACTTTCACTTTGGATTCCAAGGGCTGTAAATTAATGTGATATTTCTCAATATTATTCTCCACATCCATAGCGAGCTGATGGCTGTAAAAGAGAGGATATCCATTAAAATCTATTTCACCATGACATTTGTAAAGTCTCCAAGTACATAGATCCATTTAAAAGAGAACATGCTCCAGCTGCTTACTCTGAAATGGGTCTCCTTTGGAGAAGACACAGGGGCCGATGAGGGAAGTGTTGCTGGAGATCTTAAGGCTAGGCTGCCCTAAAATGTTGCCAAAAGCAGCATAATGGGCTAGTTTTGCCTTTACCTTTGTTTGTACTTCCTTTCTTGATGTTTCTGATGCTGCTGGTTCTTCCAGCACCACGTTCTTCAAGCTGAAAACAACCATACCTCTTCTTATGCAATTGATGTGCTTTGTAAAACTGTACAAAAATTAACCAAGGTTGGGTCCTGAAACCCAAAGTTGGTGGGCCAGATTTCTGTACCTTTCACTTCTGTGGGCCAACTTTGACAGATGGGCGGGACCACCCACCTGTCAATCAGCTGCCACCATAATGACATCAGGAGATAGACACCTTCCAAACTTCAAAACCAGCTGAGTAAAGATGTGGGGCAAGTAACTGTGGTTTGTGGGAAACTGCCTTGCAGGCCTAATGAGACCCATGATCCAGAAGTTTCCCACCAATGCCTTAACCCTTGCATTTATCGCTCATGCAACAGTACTTGGTAAATCAGTAGGGACGCGGATGGCACTGTGGTCTAAACCACTGGGCCTCTTGGGCTTGCCAATCAGAAGCTTGGCGGTTTGAATCTCTGCAACAGAGTGAGCTCCCGTTGCTCTGTCCCAGCTCCTGTCAACATAGCATTTCGAAAGCATGCCAGTGCAAGTAGATAAATAGGTATTGCTGTGGTGAGAAGGTAAACAGTGTTTCCATGTGCTCTGCTTTCCATCACGGTGTTCTGTTGTGCCAGAAGTGGTTTAGTCATGCTGGCCACATGACCCAGAAAGCTGTCTGTGGACAAATACTGGCTTCCTTGGCCTGAAAAGTGAGATGAGTGCCTCACCCCATAGTAACCTTTGACTGGACTTAACTGTTCAGGGGTCCTCTACCTTACCTTTACCTTATTTGGTAGATCATTATCATAATCACTTATCTCTTTGCTCTGACCTCTCCTTTAATCCTTACCCTGACTTCTTTTCCCAATTCCATGCAAGTTCTTCATCCTTGACATCAAAACCCTTCATAACTTTGCTTTCTCTTATTGGTCTGCTTGCATTTTGAAATACTTCCCTATGTGTGACCTTTGCTCACCAAGTTCCCACAGACGCCTGAAGATCTCCTGCTACCTCAAAAGGATTCACCTTTTCTCCTTTGTTGTTCCTTATGCTTCCCACAATACCTCCATTATATCACTTCTATTATTTCCTTCAGGTCCCTCCTCAAAATACTTTGGCACCATCCTGTTTTGGGACTACAACTCCCATCATCCCTAGCTAACAGGACAAGTGGTCTGGTATGATGGGAACTGTAGTCCCAAAACAGCTGGAGGGCCAGGTTTGGCCATGCCTGCTATACCCCATATACCCTACTGCAGCACGCCCCCATCCTGCCCAATCTTTGCGAGCTTGTAGGCACATTTCCCAAGAAAATAAGTACAAGGTAGTGGTTGGGCTTGAGCCCCAGATACTACCCTCCCTAAAGCACTTCAAAATACACATTTCTGAGAAGGAAAGCTGGTGATGCTCAAAGGAAACACCCACCACCCACCCCCTTCCTCAAAAAAGGCCCCAAGGCAAAAAACAAACAAACTGAAACAGGCAAATCACCCCCTCCCCAAACAGGCACCCCCTAAAGATGTCCCCCAAAGACTCTCCAGCCCCTGCTAGTTCCCCAAACTTACCACTCAAGAGCACTGTTATTTTTGCATTCCCTATATTCTCTTTTTATTTATTTTTCAAGCAGTCCAGGCAGCTGGGCAGCAAAGCATTAACTTCCAGATGCCCTGCCTTCTTGCTTTCCTTTCCAAAGAAGAATACCTCTGGGCCACATGCACATGGTATTTTAATATTTTGTTTGATGTCTTCATACACTTGACACAATCACCCACCCACTTCCAGATCTTGAAACAAAGGAAGAGAGATAATTTCTACAAGTAAATTAAAAATTGAAAGGGAAGATAGAGAAGAAAGTAGGGCAGCTAGAGCAGGCCATTCTTTATTTTCCTGAAAGCCGAGCCACTGCCCAAAGCTTTTTAAAAAAGAGAGAGCAAAAGATAAAGTCCATAAGGGCAAGAGGCCTCGGGGCACTATGGGAGGTGACAAGGGGTGCTGTGGTGCCTAAATTTACCTAACTGAAATAATTGCTGATTCTTCCCCCTTATATTCTTGCCTTCATTTCCCCTCCTTTCCTCCGCTGACTGCCTTCTATTAATGTATAGGTTGTAAGAGGGATGTGTCCTCTTATACCTTATAAAAGGCGACACCTAGATGATGCTACATGAAGTGTATATAAACATGCAGATAGATGCGGACATAGAAGCTCATTTTAGAATTATATTAAGATTAAAGCAAGATGCTTAAAACTAAATGAATTCCTATCCCACTGATTTGCCTAATAGCATGATGCTTGTCTATTCAGAAGTACGGTAAGTCTTGTTGAGTTCAGTGGGGCTTCCTCCCAGGAAAATGGGTGTAGGATTACAGCAAAACTTAGCTGAGTGATCTGATTAAAGCTGAACAAACTTAAAAGTCTCCATTAAAATCTACACAAGGTTTTTGTTTGGTGGCAATCCAAATATGTTAGTACTTACTTTTCAAGCAAATATTTCCCATCGCTAATTTGCTCCAATATATGTTGCAGCTTTTTGAGTTCTTCCTGTAGTGGGACAAAAATAAAAGATGCCAATGTATTAATTTGATGTACTCGGTATTTGTCTTGAAGCAAGACACTGCAGCTCTCAGGATAACCGAATGCCTTTAGGAAACCTGCAAGCAGAATGAGTGCAACAGCAATCTCTTCATATTTGATTCCCAACACCTGATATATAGAGTTATACCACCTCTGATGCTGCAGACAATATAGCCATCACAACTAGTATCAACCCTATTTCCACGACTGTACTTTGTTTGAACTTCAATTTGTTGCAACATGTCCTGGGACCTGCTGGTAAATGGCAGGTAATGATGTTGGTGATACAGACAGCAATCTCATTCTCCTTGCCTCTCATGCAATGGCTGCTGGTTCCAGCTGCAACCTTTGCTGGCGGCAGAGGAAAGCTGTAGATCTAAAAGGGATTGGACAAATTCATGGACAACAGGTCTATCTGCCTGTTAGTAATGACGGTGACCCAAATGCATGTCACTTGCTGAAGACGAAGAGTAAGAAAATATTATTAGTTCTATGTCCCGCTTATCAGCTTTCTGAAGGCTACCCTGTGAAGACTCAATGGACATTTGGTCCAACCAAGCAGGGCTCCTCTTGTGTTCAGGTTAAGTGGATTGCCCCATCCGGTTAATATGAGATACAGCTGGAGAAAAGGGTCGCCTACTTGATGCCCATTAATTGGGGTGGGGAGGGCAAAGGTGGTGCAGTGAGGCAAAGATGAGGCAGAGGAAAGGGAAGGCAAAGAAGAGCCAAGCAAAATCTGTGGCAAAGATTATTAATAGCAGACAAGAGTCCCCTGGCCTAACAAGAAAAGCAGAGGGATAAAACATATAAATAGGCTCTGCCCTTGATATGAAAAGCAATTACCTGTCCCTGAGAAATGCATCTTTCTGTGTGAAGGGACCTTTGCTGACATGCTTTTCATTAACAAGTTCTAGACTCAGATTTAACACAATAAAAAGTTATTCAGGCAAAAACAAACAAACCACAAAAGGCTCAAAGAACCCAAATAGACTAGAAAACAAACACATCATCTCTAACTTAATATATCTCGCCATTCTCTACTGTGCATCAATCCTGTACTAATTTAACATGAAGTGGACTTGAAGGCAATTTAACAAGCTGAGGCATTGCTTCACGTCTTCCTTTAGCTCATTAGTTTTAGAATGTAATGTAAAGACAAAGGCCAATCGGAGCTAAGTGAGGCTCAGGGTGAATTGCTTGCCAGTCTACAAGGTAAAAAACCCTCAAAGTTGACAAGGTTAAGATCATTCTAAAAACAAAAGGAGGAAATGTGCATTGTACATTGAGCCAAAGCTGACCTGGGAATAAATATGGCAATAAAAATAAAGTTTTGGATTTGTTGGCAAGGAGACCCATAGCTCAAACATACCTGTGTTCTGCAGGTTTAGGGCTGACTCAAAGGTCACCTGATACTAGAGCTACTCCTTTAAAGTCTGTAAAGGTAAAGGTACCTCTGACCGTTAGGTCCAGTTGTGGAAGACTCTGGGGTTACGCGCTCATCTCACTCTATAGGCTGAGGGAGCCAGTGTTTGTCCGCAGACAGCTTCCTGGTCATGTGGCCAGCATGACTAAGCCTATTTATCTACTTGTACTTTGACATGCTTTCGAACTGCTAGGTGGGCAGAAGCTGGGACCGAACAACGGGATCTCACCCCGTCGCGGGGGTTCGAACTACCGACCATCTGATCAGCAAGCCCTAGGCTCAGTGGTTTAAACCACAGCACCACCTGTGTCTGTAGGAAATACTAAACATCAATGGGCTGGTTGCAGCACATATTGTTATTGCTGCTGCTGACAGATGAATGAGTATCAGGGTGAGGACCTTCTCAGTGCTGGCCCCCATTTGGAATTCCATTCCCGGGGGGGGGGTATTATGGCATGTTACAGTTGATTTTAAAGTAAATTCTGAAGGCATTTCATTCCAGTCTGCCGTTGCTCGAAGTACCATGCTTGAGGATTACAGGGGCTAGAAGTTTTAGCTTCATGATTTTTAGCCTAATGGTACTGCACACCTAAGGACGTGGGTGGCGCTGTGAGTTAAACCACAGAGCCTAGGACTTGCTGATCAGAAGGTCGGTGGTTCGAATCCCTGAGGCGGGGTGAGCTCCCGTTGCTCGGTCCCTGCTCCTGCCAACCTAGCAGTTCGAAAGCAAAAAGTGCAAGTAGATAAATAGGTACCGCTCCAGCGGGAAGGTAAATGGCGTTTCTGTGCGCTGCTCTGGTTTTCCAGAAGCAGCTTAGTCATGCTGGCCACGTGACCCGGAAGCTGTACGCCGGCTCCCTCGGCCAATAAAGCGAGATGAGCACCGCAACCCCAGAGTCGGCCACAACTGGACCTAATGGTCAGGGGTCCCTTTACCTTTACTGCACACCCGACCTCCTGCCAGTGGCTTCGCTGTGAACACCAGGAAGGAGCTTGACCAGGAATCTGAGCCCATGTCTTACTCTGTCCAACATTCTATCCACTCTTGTGCTGCTCCTTGGTTAACTGAGGTTTACCAACTTTTGCCAGTTTTCCTCTCCCTCCTGCCTACTCCAGTTCCACCTTCTACACTGTTCCAGGAAGTTAAGGAACCATCTGGAAGACTGTGGGGGCAGCACGGGGGGGAGGAATCCAAAAAAGTCACCCCCCCAAAAAAAGTGGCTTACTTGGTGACTCTGCTTGTGTGTGTTCCCCATGCTAACCTTCCCACTGCTTTGCCTCTACCCTCTTCTTCCCAGTAAGCAACAGTAATCCATCTGCTGGGAAGCTAGCAAAGCAGTTCTGCCCCACCTAATAAGCCATTTCCTGCAGCTGCAGAATCTCTGCACTGGCTCAAAAGTCATCTGTTGACAGAATGAGCCTTTTCATCTGCAGAAGGCAAAGCTTGGACCCAACCCAATGAGACTGCAAAGTTATAGTGTTCTGAAAGTTGGTAGATGTACCTTCTACCACACACACACACACACAAAAACAGTCTTAAGTTCCTGCTGTGGGGAAGCAGAATTTTCAGAAATTAAAAATGGACACTGCATCACAGTCAGTTACAGATTTACTAATGATGCAACTTTCATTTCCCATCAACTTGGAAACACTGATCAATACTTCAACAATATATCAGGTATAAAGTAGATTTGTCAAGATGCGTTAAAAAATGTCTTCCAACTTCTCATTTTCTGAACGACGCACCCCCTAACCACTTCATCAAATGGCTGAAATGTTGCAAGATGATTTTAAACACTTACCGTTGCAGAACAATTTAAAAGCCATTTGGAGGAGCCCAGTCATTAAACTCATCTTCCATTTCCAGATTTCCTCAAAAAATAGTTTCTCCTTTTTGACATGTGTAAAACTCAGAAAACTCCCCAAGTTTTCCTGAAAAATTACTTGCCTATAGTACTTGATTCTAAAAGATAACCTTTTTCATTTTCCAAAGCACTCCAGCGGTCAATTTTGTTTTCAGTGTATCCCAAAGCAACATAAGGTAATTTAGAATGTGGAAACAATTTACAATTGACTTTATATATAGCCAAGGGTGACAAAACCTACATGACTTACATAAATCATTTTGTGCATGTGTTTGACATCATTTTATATTAACCTAGGGGTAAAGACTTAGTAAAAAACAACAACAACCCTTTCTAAAAAATGTCTGCAACATTTTTTGGACCATTCAATCATTCGATTAAATATTATTGGCTTGTTTTTTTATGGAAAGCTGTAATAGGACAACTACAAAAGGGGCTAGTAAAATTTGCATAATTTGGAAGAGCAGAAGACATAAAATCTATACTAATTTCAGTTTTGCATCATTAAACATGAAGTATTGATTATTGCTCCTTGCAACAAAATTTATGAAGCCAGCCATGTTGCTGTGTCCACATAAAGTGATTTTGATGTTTTGCCCTGAGACCTCAAGTGCCGTAAATGATGGCTGCTGGTGACAGGCTACAGCTGAGATGCTGTTGTTCCAATTCACAGCCTTAGGAGATACATCTCCTAGATTATGCCGGGAGTGACCCAGCTGCAAACTCCAACTTCAGAAAATTAAATTGGAAGCAGTCCAAACTTCTGTTGAAATACACGGTGAATTACGAGGCTTCTATAAACTTGTTATAATGTAAATGTACTGTAAAATTCAGTGCAATACCTCTTCTTCCCAACCCCGCTGTTGAGAAAGGACATTAATAGTTAAAGAAACGGGGGGTCCAAAAATGCAACCTTGCTTTTTGAAGTGCAGAAGTGTTACTCATTTCTTGCTTGTGTCTATGGAGTTTGTAGATTTATATTGTTAAGGAATAATATTGTGGTGCCGTACGCAAGCGTTACTTGGGAAAGTCTATCAAGGAATGAAGTGCAGTAGGCCATTTTACTCTCCTCTAGGTACTTCTCCCAGCTCTGCCAACATTTCTTTCACACAACTGGTGATGTCCACGTGTTTTCCTAGGCAATGTCAGAATCACACCCTCACAACTTGATCCCATTATGCTCTAGTAACCTTTGAATTTGTTAGGGGCCAAACATTCAATACCTATATATTTATAACAGGGACTCCCAAACTATGTTCCGTGGACCATCAGTGGTCCACAAGCTGCATTCTGGTGGTCTGCAGCTTGTCCACATTAAATATCTATTACTATTAATTTCAATTCTATTTTTATTGCTTCTTTTCTTTCTTATATTGTATGTTATTGTATTTCCATGTGAATTACACGGGATTCAAATTGTACTACAACAATACAATATGCAAGATAAAAAGAAGCAATTAAAACACAATGTAAAATCACAGAGCACCTATCAGAGTACATGTCAATTGCTACAAAAGCAGACCCACCCAGGCCTTCAGCAGTTTTCAAGCGGTATGTTGGATGGGTTTTGGGGGGGAGTGCTGGGTTTACAAAAAAAAGAAAAAATGTAAATTTTCATTAAAGCATTATTGCTGGACAATCTAGAAAAAGGACAACATGAGAAATGCATAAAATTGATC